TGGCGAGGTCCCATTTGAATCCGCTGTGGGTGCCCACTGTGCTGGGCCCGCAAGCAGGCCTCGAAAGTGGCGACAATTTCAAAGATCGCAGCCCCCCAGGGATGGCGAGGTCCCATTTGAATCCGCCGTGGGTGCCCACTGTGCTGGGCCTCCCAGCAGGTCCTCGAAAGTGCGACAGTTTCACAGATCGCAGCCCCCCAGGGATGGCGAGGTCCCATTTGACCGCCGTGGGTACCCTTGTGCTGGGCCCCCCAGCCCTCGAAAGGCGACAGTTTCACAGATCGCAGCCCCCCAGGGATGGCGAGGTCTAATTTGACTCCGCCGTGGGTACCCACTGTGCTGGCCCCCCAGCAGGCCTCGAAAGTGGCGACAGTTTCACAGATCGCAGCCCCCCAGGGATGGCGAGGTCCCATTTGAGTCCGCCGTGGGTACCCACTGTGCTGGGCCCCCCAGCAGCCCTCGAAAGTGGCGACAGTTTCACAAATCGCAGCCCCCCAGGGATGGCGAGGTCACATTTAAATCTGCCGCGGGTGCACACTGTGCTGGGCCCCTCCAGCAGCCCTCGAAAGTGGCGACGGTTTCACAAATCGCAGCACCCCAGGAATGGCGAGGTTCCATTTGAGTCCGCCGCGGGTGCACACTGTGTTGGGCCCCCCAGCAGCCCTCGAAAGTGGCGACAGTTTCACAGATCGCAGCACCCCAGGGATGGCGATGTCCCATTTGAATCCGCCGCGGGTGCACACTGTGCTGGGCCCCCCAGTAGCCCTCGAAAGTGGCGACCGTTTCACAGATCGCAGCCCCCCAGGGATGGCGATGTCCCATTTGAATCCGCCGCGGGTGCACGCTGTGCTGGGCCCCCCCAGCAGCCCTCGAAAGTGGCGACGGTTTCACAGATCGCAGCCCCCCAGGGATGGCGAGGTCCAATTTGAACCCGCCGCGGGTGCACACTGTGCTGGGCTCCCCAGCAGCCCTCGAAAGTGGCGACAGTTTCACAGATCGCAGCCCCCCAGCTGGCACGCAGCGACGAGCGAGGCGAAAGGCAGGGGGGAAGAGAGGGACGGGAGGGGGTGGGAAGGAGACGCGCGAGCAGTGCTCTATTCAAAACGAGAACCCAGCGCAGGAGGGTTGGGGAATTAGCCTGGCGAAGGACCCAACCATATGCAGTTGTGAATGCCGCAATTGTGCTGGGTGGTGGCGGGCGCATGCGGGCGGTGCCACTGGGACCTTCGGTGGAGCTCCCTATGGGGCCACGAAGCGCTGTACTGGGTGGGTGAGACGCGGTCAGCAAGGGCTGTGCTGCGTGGTGGCGGACGCATGCGAGCGGTGCCACTGGGACCTTCGGTGGAGCTCCCTATGGGGCCACGAAGCGCTGTACTGGGTGGGTGAAACGCAGGCAGGGAGCAAGGGCTGTGCAGGGTGGTGGCGGACGCATGCGGGCGGTGCCGCTGGGACCTTTGGTGGAGCTCCCTATAGGGCTACGAAGCGCTGTTCTGGGTGGGTGAAGCGCAGGGAACAAGGGCTGTGCTGGGTGGTGGCGGACGCAAGCGGGCAGTGCCACTGGGACCTTTGGTGGAGCCCCCTATGGGGCCACGAAACGTGCGAGGGGTGTGCCAGAATGGGGTGTGGAACCGCATGCCAGCGCAGCCACTGGGGCCTTCGGTGGAGCTCCCTATGGAGCCACGAAGGCGTGTGAGGGGTGTGCCGAAATGGGGGGTGGAACCGCATGCGAGCGCAGCCACTGCGGCGTTCGGTGGAGCTCCCTATGGGGCCACGAAACGTGTGAAAGGCGTGCAGAAAAAACGTGGAACCGCATGCGAGCGCAGCCACTGGGGCCTTCGGTGGAGCTCTCTATGGGGCCACGAACCGTGTGAGGGGTGTGCCGAAATGGGTGGGGAACCACATGCGAGCGCAGCCACTGGGGCGTTCGGTGGAGCTCCCCATGGAGCCACCCACGAACGTGTGAGGGGTGTGCCGAATGGGGGGTGGAACGCATGCGGGCGCAGCCACTGGGGCCTTCGGTGGAGCTCCCCGCTGGGGCCACGAAACGTGTGAGGGGTGTGCCAGAAATGGGGGGTGGAACCGCATGCGGCGCAGCCACTGGGGCCTTCGGTGGAGCTCCCTATGGGGCCACGAAACGTGTGAGGGGTGTGCAGAATGGGGTGGAACCGCATGCGGCGCAGCCACTGGGGCCTTCGGTGGAGCTCCCTATGGGGCCACGAAACGTGTGAGGGGTGTGCCAGAATGGGGGGTGGAACCGCATGCGAACGCAGCCACTGGGGCCTTCGGTGGAGCTCCCTATGGGGCCACGAAGCGTGTGAGGGGTGTGCCGAAATGGGGGGGGAACCACATGCAAGCGCAGCCACTGGGGCGTTCGGTGGAGCTCCCCATGGAGCCACCCACGAAGCGTGTGAGGGGTGTGCCGACATAGGGGGGTGGGACCGCATGCGAGCGCAGCCACTGGGGCCTTCGGTGGAGCTCCCTATGGGGCCACGAAACGTGTGAGGGGTGTGCCAGAATGGGGGGTGGAACCGCATGCGCGCGCAGCCACTGGGGCGCTCGGTGGAGCTCCCTATGGAGCCACGAAGCGTGTGAGGGGTGTGCCAGAATGGGGGGTGGAACCGCATGCGGGCGCAGCCACTGGGCCTTCGGTGGAGCTCCCTATGGGGCCACGAAACGTGTGAGGGGTGTGCCAGAATGGGGGGTGGAACCGCATGCGGGCGCAGCCACTGGGCCTTCGGTGGAGCTCCCTATGGGGCCACGAAACGTGTGAGGGGTGTGCCAGAATGGGGGTGGAACCGCATGCGGGCGCAGCCACTGGGGCCTTCGGTGGAGCTCCCTATGGGGCCACGAAACGTGTGAGGGGTGTGCCAGAATGGGGGGTGGAACCGCATGCGGGCGCAGCCACTGGGGCCTTCGGTGGAGCTCCCTATGGGGCCACGAAACGTGTGAGGGTGTGCCAGAATGGGGGGTGGAACCGCATGCGGGCGCAGCCACTGGGGCCTTCGGTGGGCTCCCTATGGGGCCACGAAGCGTGTGAGGGGTGTGCGAATGGGGGGTGGAACCGCATGCGGGCGCAGCCACTGGGGCCTTCGGTGGAGCTCCCTATGGGGCCACGAAACGTGTGAGGGGTGTGCCAGAATGGGGGGTGGAACCGCATGCGGGCGCAGCCACTGGGGCCTTCGGTGGAGCTCCCTATGGGGCCACGAAACGTGTGAGGGGTGTGCCAGAATGGGGGGTGGAACCGCATGCGGGCGCAGCCACTGGGGCCTTCGGTGGAGCTCCCTATGGGGCCACGAAACGTGTGAGGGGTGTGCCAGAATGGGGGGTGGAACCGCATGCGGGCGCAGCCACTGGGGCCTTCGGTGGAGCTCCCTATGGGGCCACGAAACGTGTGAGGGGTGTGCCAGAATGGGGGGTGGAACCGCGTGCGGGCGCAGCCACTGGGGCCTTCGGTGGAGCTCCCTATGGGGCCACGAAACGTGTAAGGGGTGTGCCAGAATGGGGAGTGGAACCGCATGCGGGCGCAGCCATTGGGGCCTTCGGTGGAGCTCCCTATGGGGCCACGAAACGTATGAGGGGTGTGCCAGAATGGAGGGTGGAACCGCATGCGGGCGCAGCCACTGGGGCCTTCGGTGGAGCTCCCTATGGGGCCACAAAACGTGTGAGGGGTGTGCCAGAATGGGTGTGGGAGGGGGAGGAGGGAGGAAGGAAGGAGGAAGGAACGCGGGGCACCGTCTCTTCAAAACGAGGACCCAACACCACAGGATGGTTGGGACATATGGTGAATCTTTTTATTTCTGTGTATTTATTTGTGTGCCGCAGGGCCCCTTCAGTCAGGCAGGCCCAGGACATCTGTAAGTGGCTCCAGGGCGTTCCTCGTCGCTCTGGGACGGCCGTGGCGCCCGATAACGTCCTCCACGCCTGCCAGCTGTCGGAGCTCTTGGATGCGTCTGGCCTCGCTTCGGTCTTCTGCGCCTTGGCCTCGCCCTGTTCTCTCCTTCGCACACCGACCACCGAGTTGTCGACTCCGACATCCATCGACTACACGTAAGAGTGACCTTTCGCCGGAGTGACCTTTGGTGCGGGCTCATCGGGCTCCCCCCGATCGCCGAGCGCGATGCGACATAAGCGGCCCACGCCCTTGGGTTTGGCTCCCTCGCGCCCCCAAAAGCTGCGCACCAAAGGTCACTCTTACCCAGGGTCACTCTTACGTCTAGCCGAATCCAGGACAAGAGTCGTCCCTCTCCTCCTTCCCCTCGTTGGCAACTTTCCAGGCGTCCGTCGCGACGCAATAGATGGCTCCAGTGCAGAGGTCGCGGCCTCGCCCACCTGGCCTCGGCAGGGCCCCTGGACGCCTTCCCGCAGTGGGGGTCTTTCTCAGGGGCGTCCTAGAGGGGGCCGATGACTGTTTTCGGGGGTGGGTACCATGGGCGGGGCCATGAACCCTCCCGGATTTCACGACCCCTCCGCTTGTTTCAGCCCGTGCCTTGGACCTCTCCCCCCCCGTCCGCGCACATCCCTCTGGTCATGATTTGCGAGCCACCCTCTTGGACGCCAACCCCTTGGACGCCTCCGACTTTCGTTCATTTTTTGTTCGTCCTCCCCTCTTCGGGAGGGGCCTGGACGGAGGAACTGTTCCAGAGCCTCCTGGAACGCTCTCGGAGCCTTCTTGGAGCGCTCTGGAACCGCCGCGGCGCCCGATGCGCCCCCCAGAACCGTCCGACCTCAGAGATCCCCGACCTGTCCTGGCCCGATTCTGCCCCTGTCCTCGAGGGCGCCCTCGAGGGCGCGAAGTTATTCGCGCTTCGCGCTTCGCGCTTCGCGGTTCGGGTCCGATTCTTCCTCACCCTCCGTTTCTCCCCTGGGAGGCGGCGCGAGAGCGCGAAGTCGTTCGCGCTTCGCGCCTCGCGCTTCGCGCAGCGCGCAGCGCGAGGCTGGGGCTGTCCTGGCCTCGCCCCGCCTCCCCCCTGCCGCCGCCCCGCCTCTCCCCCCCTCCCCGGCAGGCGTCCGCCGCCCAGGTGCTGCGCTCCTGCCTGGACGCGGCAGGCGCGCACGCGCGGTCTCCCCCCCCCCGCCGCCTGTCTCTGCGCGCTCGGCGCGCCTCGCAGAGGCGTGTGCTTCTGTCTGTCCTCCGTGCTGCCGGAGGGACGGGGGGAGGCGGAGAGGGGAGCGTGGAGGCAGTCTCGCTGGACCGACCCCATCCGGAGCCCCACCGTCTCGCTCCCCCAGAGGTGGGGGGCCTGCCCCTCGAAGGCCGCGGAGGAGACCGGCCTCGCTGCCCATACAGGGGCTGAATCGGCCAGTGGGGCCAGGCCGCGTCGTTGGGGATAGGGGACGTGCCGATCCGAGGGTCCTGGGGTGAGGTGAGCCTGCTCGGGGAGGCGAGAGAAAGTTGCACGTCAGCCTACGTACGCCGACATTTCGGCCCGGCTCCAGGAGGGACAGGCGCGCCGGGCGGCGCGCTCGCGAGGGGCATGCACTGGCAGCGCGGAGCTGGTGATCTCTCGCAGGGGTGGGAGGAGTCGACGCTGAGGTCTGTGTCTACGAGCCGTTCTTCGACAAGCTGGTGCTTGGTCTGGTTTGTGAGTCCATGGGGGGATGACTCGAGACGAGAACGAGTCTGGAAGTGGTGCTGTGCGACGTTTCTCGGGTGCTGGCCAGGATGCGAGCAAAGAGTATCGGCTGGGTCGGAAATGTCCTTGTGCATACCTGATTGTTCAGCGTGCCCGAGGTGTACCGCCCGAAGCATTCGGCCCGCTTCTTTTTCACGCTTCTTGATGACATGGCGTCGCGTGCGGTCGAGACGATCGATATCGACGAGTTAGAGGCGGCGTGTGACGCAGGTCTGATTTTGGGCGTTCTGGACGAGAGGTTCCGGGACCGCGCTGCGCCTGATCGTCTGGGCGAGGCCCTGATTGAGATTTTTAGCCTGACTATTGCCAAGGGAGAGACTATGGTTCACTTCTGTGGTCATGGCCGAGCGTCTTTTTCGCGAGGTGATGCTGAGGGTGTGCCACTACCATCGATTGCGAAAAAGGTTTTTCTTGCTCATGGGTGCGCAGCTGCCTTCGACATGCCTTGTATGTTTGGCTGCGTTTTAGTAGTCGGATCAGGAACATGAGGTTGCCAGGGCGCTGAGAACTACGTATACGACTGGGCCCGTCGACTACATTTCAGGTCGTCGCGATTGGGTGAATGTGGTTCTTGTGGCGAATGATGAAGATGATCCTGTGGGGGACGAGATCGAGGCCCTGATCGGTGCCGATTCGGGGAACATTCAAGAGGTGTTCAAGAAATCGGAGGCTATCCAGGTGCTTGTGACGTGGAAAGAGCAGCAACGAAAGATGGCGAAGGAGCAGTTGGCCAGACGCCAGACGTCCAGGCGATTGATCGCCTGACAGGGCGCTCCAACTGCGATGAGGTGGGTTATTTCAGCCGGGATTGCCAAAAACCGAGGCGCCTTATATAATTTTTCCCCGAAGCATGCAACCACTACATGGAGACGGTCGACGCATGGCTTGAGGGGGCGAGTCTTTTGCATCAGCATCTGAGCCAGGGCGCAGGACGTTGAGATCCTCATCTCTTCTCATGATTCGGGCCACGGTGTGTGGGGCCAGTTGGCGGCTGAGGTTTGATCGGCGAAAAAACGAGCATCGTGGCGCGATGGGCAGGGCAGGCTCTACTGTCGCGGAGATTCCCCACGCGAGGCCCATCACGTCAAGTTCGGGAACCAACAGTTGATGATGCCAATTCGCTATTTGAAGGTTCAGTGTCGGACGGGCGATCGGGAGATCAAAATTCGGTTGTCTGTGATCGCTGGTGTCGCCCCGTTGTGGCTCAGTAAGCTTTTTTTTGGAGGGGATTTGGAGCCATCGTCGACACCGTTCGGGTCCAGGTGGCGTTCGGACAGCTTGGAGTGACGCTTCCACTGCCACTGTGTGAGGTGAAGAGCGGACATTCGCAACCGAACGTGTGCGAACTGATCAATAAGACGACGATCCAGGCGTCCAACCCGGAGGTCGAGGGGAACGAGGCTTTGTTGGTTGGGGTTTGTGGAAGCTGCTGCGGGCTTCGTTGTGGCCGGACCGGGGCCCTCAGGTCGGAGGCGAAGACGAGGACTACGACGACGACGCCTTCGAATGCTGCTAGGCTGGAGTCACAAGAATTTTGAGTCGACGGTTCCAGGGGAATGCAATAATTATTTCGAGCATGTGTTCGCGACCGAGAAGTTTCAATCCAAGGGCGTGGAGAGATTCTCTACGCCGAGACTGTGTCCGAAGCTGGTCCAGATGGGATTCAAATATGTTGGCTCGTTTGACAAAATGTCTTTGGTGGGGTGCCTCACTGCCTGAGAATCGGCAAGGGGTGGTCCAGTTGATTATGGAAGACATGCGTCAGGGTGTGGGATTCCACCACCGTGCACGATGTTTTCGTCGTTTCTACAGAGACTGACGCCGGCGAGTTGACGTCGTGATCCCGGAAAGTGGTACCGAGATTAGCAAGGGACTTTGGTCGTGCTGAAACTCAGAAATCAGATGGCTCCTCAGGTACAGGCTTCTGGTTTTTATTCCCCACATCCTGAGTGGGGTTCTTGTTTTCCCACAACATCCTCTCCTCCTCCTCCTCCTCCTCCCGCTTCCTCCACCATCCCATACTGTATCATACCATACCAATACCATGCCACTCCATACCATACCTTACCATACCATACCATGCATCCACCATCCCATACCATACCATGCCTTTCCTCACACCATGTTATTTATCAGGTTTCGTGCCGTTCCCACCCCTCCAGGGAGGCCCCGCCTGAGCGAGCAGGGTATTCGCACACCATATTATTTATCAGGTTTCGCGCCTCTCCCACCTCTCCAGGGAGGCCCCGCCTGAGCGAGCAGGGTATTCGCACACCATGTTATTTATAAGTTTTCGTGCCCCCCCCACCTCTCCAGGGAGGCCCCGCCTGAGCGAGCAGGGTATTCGCACACCATGTTATTTATCAGGTTTCGTGCCCCTCCCACCCCTCCAGGGAGGCCCCGCCTGAGCGAGCAGGGTATTCGCACACCATGTTATTTATCAGGTTTCGCGCCCCTCCCACCCCTCCAGGGAGGCCCCGCCTGAGCGAGCAGGGTATTCGCACACCATGTTATTTATCAGGTTTCGTGCCCCTCCCACCCCTCCAGGGAGGCCCCGCCTGAGCGAGCAGGGTATTCGCACACCATGTTATTTATCAGGTTTCGTGCCCCTCCCACCCCTCCAGGGACCCCGCCTGAGCGGCAGGGTATTCGCACACCATGTTATTTATCAGGTTTCGTGCCCCTCCCACCCCTCCAGGGGGGCCCCGCCTGAGCGAGCAGGGTATTCGCACACCATATTATTCATTAGGTTTCGTGCCCCTCCCACCTCTCCAGGGAGGCCCCGCCTGAGCGAGCAGGGTATTCGCACACCATGTTATTTATCAGGTTTCGTGCCCCTCCCGCCCCTCCAGGGAGGCCCCGCCTGAGCGAGCAGGGTATTCGCACACCATGATATTTATCAGGCTTCCTGCCCCGCCCATCCCTCCAGGGAGGCCCCGCCTGAGCGAGCAGGGTATTCGCACACCGTGCTATTTATCAGGTTTCGTGCCCCTCCCACCCCTCCAGGGAGGCCCCACCAGAGCGGGAAGGGTGTTCGCACACCATGTGATTTATCAGGTATCCTGCCCATCCCACCCCTCCAGGGAGGCCCCGCGTGAGCGAGCAGGGTCTTCGCACACCATGTTATTTATAAGTTTTCGTGCCTCTCCCACCCCTCCAGGGAGGCCCCACCAGAGCGGGCAGGGTATCCGCACACCATATTATTTATCAGGTTTCGCGCCCCTCCCAACATTCCAGGGAGGCCCCGCCAGAGCGGGCACGGTATTCGCACACCATATGATTTATCAGGTTTCACGCCCCTCCCACCCCTCCAGGGAGGCCCCACCAGAGCGGGCAGGGCATTCGCACACCATATTATTTATTAGGTTTCGTGCCCCTCCCGCCACTCCAGGGAGGCCCCGTCAGAGCGGGCAGGGTATTCGCACGCCATATTTTATTTTTAGGTTTCGTGCCGTTCCCTCCCCTCCAGGGAGGCCCCGCCTGAACGAGCAGGGTATTCGCACACCATGTTATTTATCAGGTGTCGTGCCGTTCCCACCCCTCCAGGGAGGCCCCACCAGAGCGGGCAGGGTATCCGTACACCATATTGTTTATCAGGTTTCGTGCCCCTCCCACCCCTCCAGGGAGGCCCCACCAGAGCGGGCAGGGTATTCGCACACCATATTATTTATCAGGTTTCGTGCCCCTCCCACCCCTCCAGGGAGGCCCCACCAGAGCGCAGACAAGAAGCAATGGAAACCCGTAACATCTTTACGTGGGGAACTCCGTTAGCATAAGCAAATTGAAGCTCCGTTGTCGGCGCCGTCGTGGGACGTGCCAGGTCCACGTTATCTCGTTCAAAAGTCTAGCGTCCATCGTGTTTCTGTTTCAGGCTACAAGGTTGGCCCGCGGGGCCTGGACTCGGGGTTGCTTCCTCAGAAGACGTGGTGTGTCGCGACCAACTGTGACGCGCTGACGTAGGCGTCGTGCGAGAACATATGCGATCGGAGCCGTGTTCGTGAGTCTTTCATGGGAAACGTTGGTGGTGTGAACCGCGGTATGTATATGTATGTTATCTCAACATTACCCAGACAGGTTGGTTCAGGGATTGGCAGAAGGCCGTCTGTTGCAGTTGTCAGTGGACGATGTCAACGGGTAGTACCAGGTTCTTATTGTGGAGGCTGCGGGGGAGGAAGGCGTCGAGAGGCGCCGTCTGGGTCAGGGGAGTGCACTTCGTCGTCCGCGCGCTAACCCTGGGCGCCCCTGCAATGATGACCTTGAGGTTGAGCCATGCGAACGCTGGCGACATGCTCGTAGGACTTGCCCGTGAATTCAAGTGTTCAGTCTGCGATGGCAGGAAGCAGCCTGAACTGTTCCGTCTGGCTGCGCTGCCCTGCCGGAGGACCCGCCGCGACTGTTCGAGATGGAATTGAAGGGGCTGCGAGGATGGACCACCTTTCATAAAAGTGTAGTGTTTGGCTGTGCTTGTTTGACTCCAGCGCTTTGCAGCAGATATCGCCTCTTTCCGCGGTGGCGACACGGGAGGTCCTTTGTCGTGGGTCTTACGGTTCCTGGATCAAGACCTATGGTGTTCCGCGAGTCGTTCGTTTCGACGTGACTGACGTAAGTTGCGGCCGCGAACTCATGAACTACATGGATAGCCAGGGTATCGACTTGCGTGGCGCTGTCGGAGAGTCTCACGAGCAGATCGGCCGCGTGGAACGACGCGGGCAGTATTTCGAGGACATCTTCAGTGAGGTATGTGACCAGTGTTCTCCAACGACTTGTCTGGATGCGGCGGTGGTGGCAAAACATGTCAGATGAGGAAGGATGCTCATTCTCCGTCTCAAATTGCGATTGGTCAAATGTTTGAAGTGCTTTCTGATCTACTCAAGGAGTCTTTAAACTGTGTTGCCAGCGGCATGCTCTTGACAGAGAAGCCTTTTGCGCATGTGGATATATGCTGTCAGACTTCTCGGGTGGAGATGCTTCGCCGTATGGATGATCGAGCTGCCCGGGCGGCTCTGGATGCGCGACCTCGTATTCTGCCGGAATGTGCTCCGGCCGATCGCGTGGCTGCATGGCCTCGCGGGGAAAGTATTCCAGTTAAAAAGGCTCTGCTCGATGGCGAGGTTCTGGTGTTCTCTGTCCAGTTCGTCGAAGCTACTGGGTGGCGCTGTCCGGGCTTGCGCTTGAGGCAGCTCCGGGATAAACGCGATATGCGACGGAGGAGGAGGAGGAGGAGGAGGAGGAGGAGGAGGAGGAGGAGGAGGAGGAGGAGGAGGAGGAGTTACAGGAGGTACTGGATCGCTCTTAAGTTCGGTCTTTGGCTCGGGAGGTCATGTCTGGAGCTGGGCCTCTACGATGCTTCCAGGACAGGCTACCCCCAGGCACGGGTTTGAGTCCTGATGCTACAGGTGATCGAGGCCATGTCAGCCAACCGAGTGATCTTGGGCATGTTAGCGCTCCGCCGACTGAGCTTGGGCAAGAGCAGGAGTCCAGGACAATCGAGGAGGCATTTCGCGATCACATCCCTGGTCCTTAGCATGCGTCAGGGGTTGGCTACGAGGTGACCAGGTTTTCCTCTCAAGGCCCGCGGACCATGTGAAAAGATGCTGGACGTGCGGATTCCCGACCACGTGTCCGAGGCTCCCAGAAAAGCTACGCGAGCTTCCCCAGAAGTGCCCGGATATCCTGGTCCCGGGTGCTTGTTGAATCTCAGCAACACTTGATACGGAGGATTTGAAGGGACATGGGGGCAGTTCATTCAGTGCCTGCGGCATGGTGGTGGTTTCTGGCAAGCAGCGAGAAAGAAGCAAAACCATATGTTTTCCAGGGGGCCCCTCCCTCGCCCCACCGCCAACGCTGCCACCTGGGACCTGTAATTTCTTTCTGTGAGTATATGGTCAGGTGTACGTCATAGACGTCGTTTGCCAGTTTGTAGACTTGTTTCAAATCGTCCAGTTCTTATCTTCGATCATTTCCCCGCTTCTCGTCGAGACCCACATTCGAGTGCGTATTGGAGGGAGAACAGGAACGCCGAACCCAGTGCAGGTCTCAGTTGCCAAAACGTTTTTTTTTTGTAGCAAGAACCTGCTAGTATGTTCTAGGCCTTCCTGCGTCCTTGCGTCCCTCTTCCTCTGTCTGCTCCTCTTGCTGCTGCTTCTCTCCTTCCACGCGAATGCGATGACGACGAGTACGATTGTGATGATGGTGACGATGATGGAGATGATGGGGATGATGGTGGTGATGGTGGTGAAGATGGTTTTGATGATGATGCTGATGCCCACGTTGACCTTGACAGAGGCATCGAGAATGTTGGGGTCCCTGCGGGCCGTCTCTGAGTCCAAGCGGAAGCAGGCGAATGCCAGACGAACTCCGATGATATTTCGAGGATATCTAGGCGGAGCGTGTCCTCCCATGGCGACTCAGTTAGTAGGGTGGTGGTGGTGGTGGTGGTGGTGGTGGTGGTGGTGGTGGTGTGTGTGTGTGTGTGTGTGGTGTGGTCCGTGTGTGTGTGTATATATATGTTGCTGTCAGTTCTTCGACCAGTTCTGTTGCGTTGTGCCAGTACGTCTACCAGCATCATTGGGTGGACCATGGTCGTTCGCCTCCCGACTTGTCACCTATGCGGCGAGTCTGCTCCTGCCCGTGCCTTTTACGGGGACTTGGATGTTTGTGTGCGTTGTGTGGCCTGCTACAGATTCAGGATGGTGACATGTGTGGACATCTCGTCCACGGGGCCCGACTCGGGCAGTCTACATGGCTTGATCGTGCCTCCGCCGCCCGCGGCCTCCTCCTCCCCCTGGACTGTGACCACAGCAGCATCTCGCAGCTGGGTGTGATTTGTTCTTCATTCGTCGTTTTTCATTGCTAGAGCGTCGTGTGATTGGTCGTCATTCGTCGTGATTTGTTCTTCATTCGTCGTGATTTGTTCTTCATTCGTCGTGTGATTCGTCGTTTTTCATCTCACTAAAGTCCGACGTTCGGTGCCTGGCGTGCAGCGGTTTGCCACGGTTCGTTTGGAACTGCCACAGGGCAGCCTCAGATGTTGTCCGCCCTCTGGTGGGGACAGGGCAGTCTTGCAGTCTCGCGGCGGCCACAGTCGATGGTTGCCTCTGGTGCTTCTCCGGTCGAGCTGCCTGCTTGGAACATTGCACGGTCTCGAGGCCTCCCAGCTGGGGTCAGAGAAGATGGGGTCGGCGGATTAATCTGCATTGCCGACGCACCAGCGATGCGGCTCGATGTGGGGCTGGACTTTTTCCACACCGCATTTGCAGTTGCATCGCTCACGTCTCCAATGCATCGCCGAAGCGTCATGCGACGCGATCCTCCGACCCCAAGGGCTCCCACGAGGGCGCGAACATATTCGCGCTTTGCGCTTCGCGGTCCTCGTTCCTTACCCCCCTCCTCCGTGCCCTCCTGTTCCCCCCCTGGGGGGCGGCGCGAGAGCCCGAAGTCCTTCGCGCTTCCCGCTTCGCGGAGCGCGAAGCGCGAAGCAGGGAGCCCCTGGACCCCACCTCGTCGGACCCCATTTGGGAGGCCTCTGCGGCCAGTGCTCACGTCCCTCGGCGGCCCCCCGCTGCCCCCCCCCCCTTCGGGCCTGCCGCCGCCAGGGGCGTCCGGGGTGCCGCCCCTCGCTGCCCCGCCGCGCCGCCCCGCCCTCCGCGGGGCGGGGCGCGCGCCCGCGAGGCTGCTCGGGGTCCACGTGCGAACCCTGCCCCTCGCACATCGTGGGGGGTGGGGTGGGGGGGTTCGCATGTGGCCCCCTAACGGCCTCGCGGCCGCCCGGGCTCCTCGGCCGTGCGCGGGCGTCCCGCGCGGGGCGTGCCCGCGGCGTCGCGCACGCGCGGAAGCTTCGCCAAGGAGTCCAGACCGCGAGGGCGCCGACGCGGACCTGCTCGTCGCTCGCGCCCCCCCTGGCGGGTCTCTGGTCGACGCTGGGCGCCTCGGTCTTGGCTGCTGGGGCCGCTTCGGATGCCCGACCGTCGGCTGTCGCTGCGCACCTGGCCGCCGTGCACAGCGAACATGTGCCGCCACTTCACCGGAGGCAGGCGTGAATGCAGGCAGGGTGTCAAAGCGCATGGTCAGTGATGCAGCCCAATGGGCGGTAGGGCCGCACAGCGGCTTTCCAAGTTTCTGCTGGGATGCCCGCGATCTGTCGAACGTCGTACGCAGTGCTCCCGCACGCTCTCTTTGCATGCTTCTGCAACTCAGTTGGCGTGCGCGCGCCTGCGTGCACGCGCGCGCGCGCCTCTGTGCACAACACTTGAGGAGGGGAGGAACAACGTGCGCGCGCAGGCGTCTATGTGCTCGCCAGCCGCACGGGCGCTCCTCGGTCATGCGGCCAGGCGCGGTGCGCGGCGGCTGCGTGCCCGAGCTGATGAAGTTCGCCGATCAGCAGCGGGTCCAGCCTGGGTTGCAACAGATGACATTGACGCAGAGGGATGGCATTATGGCATGTGGGACGGTCGGGAAGAGCATGAGGGTGACGAGAGGAGGTGGAGGATGGGGGAGCACCAGGAGCAGGAAGGATACCGGAACTTCTCCCCTTCTCTTCCCCCTTCTCCTTCAGCTCCCGCCTGCTCCTGCCGAGAAGGAGCAGGCAGAAGCTGAATGAGCAGGGGAGGAGAAGAGGGAGGAGCTCAACACACATAATAGGCAAGGAGGAAGAAGGGGGAGGAGGAGGGGGAGGAGAAGGGAGAGAAGAAGGGTAGGACGAGCGAGGAGGAGAGGGGGAGGAGAAGGGGGAGGAGAAGGGGCCGGATAAGGGTCGGGGCACTGCTCTCTTGCCCCCCAAAAGCGTTTCGTGGTAGCCGGCAGCTGCCGGCGGCACTCCCCGCCGTCGATCGCCATCGCAGGGCGTCGCCGTGCCTGCAGGACGGCTCTGCCGAGCGCTCCCGGACGGGCTCGGCAGAGGCACGGTGGTGCCAGCTGGGCAGCAGCGCTGCGGTGCCGCGGCGTGGCGTGGCCGCCGCGCAGCTTGGCTGTTGGGCTGCCTCCCCGGGCGCCCCTGGGATGCTCCCTGGAGGCCCCGTGGGGGGGCCTCCTGAGGCCCTGGCGGCGGCCTGCCGGGGGGGCTCTGGGAAGGCCTTTTGGGGGCCCGCTTTGGGGGCGTCGGAGCTGTCCTGGGCGCGGTGGTTCTGGCGCTGCAAAGCCGTCCAAGGGTCGCCCGGTCGGTCAATAGGGCTGTCCTGGAGGTGTCTGCCCGCGGGCATGCCCGGGTCGTCTCGGCAGGTTTTCTCGGGCCGTCCTGCCGGGCTCTCTGCGGGGCAGTCTTGGGATTTTCGGGGAGTTCCTGTCGCCTCTGGGGGATCGTCTGAACTTTCTCGGGTCTTCGTGGAGTCCGCGTCTCAGGCACGTCCTTCGGCGGCGAGCCCAGGGGGGAAGTGAGGAGGAGAAGGCCTTCTTAGAAGGCTCGGAAGTCCCGTGGCCTTCTGAGACTTCTCAGAAGTCGCGAGGGCTTCTGAGGAGTCCCGCAGCCTGCTGAGAAGGCCTCCTCCTTCTCACTTCGCCCCCTCGCTCGCCGCCGAGTCTTGCAGCATGTTGGAGTTGTCTCGGGGCGATCTCAGCCGTCCCGGGGCCGACGAGCGCGGGGGTGGTGGTAAGCTGCTGGGTGGTGACGTGTGCGCCACGCTCTTGAGCGGGGCTGGGGTCGCCGCCGAGGGATCTCCCTGCTCGCTGTCCAGTGTTCGGTCGTCGCAGCCGAAGGCTCCGTGGTCGTAGTCGCTTCCGTCTTTCTTGTGGTTGTCGTCGTCGTCCTTGTAGTCGCCGTCGTCACCGTCGCCATTTCCGTTGTCGTTGTCGTCGTTGTCGTCGTCGTCATCATTGTTGTTTGTTTCGTCGTCGTCGTCTCGTCACCATAGTTTTGTGTTCACAGCTTTATTCGTAGTTCGCCGTCGTCGTCGTCGTCGTCGTCGTCGTTGCCCCTATCCTCATCGCCATCGTCCCTGTCGTAAGCGTTGTCGTACTCGTCGATGCTGTCGTCGTCCTCTCATCCGGCCTCATCGTAATCGTCCTTCTCGTCTTCAGTGCTGTTTTTTGTTATAGTCGTCCTTTGCAAAGCGTAGCACTCACCAGCTTCGATGGCGCAGACAACATGCAGACCGCTCAACTACAAACAGTAAGGTTCAAATCATTGAGGGACGGAGCAGCACTGTGTCGATTGGAAGGTGGCCCACACGCGCTGCACACCCGGCGCCATAGTCCTTCTCGTCTCCTCCTCTTTTTTCCCAACCCTCCTTGGTTGAGTATTCGTTGTGAATCGAGGGGTGTGGTCGCGTCCTTCTCACGCCCCCCCCTGTGGTCGCCGTCCCTGGGGGGCTGCGGGGGCTGCGATCTGCGAAACTGTCGCCACTTTCGAGGGCTGCTGGTGGGTCCTGCGGAGTGAGGCACCGCGCAGATCTGAGCGGGACCTCGCCGTCCCTGGGGGGCTGCGATCTGCGAGCTTGTCGCCACTTTCGAGTGCTGCTGGTGGGTCCTGCGGAGTGAGGCACCGCGCGGATCTGAGCGGGACCTCGCCGTCCCTGGGGGGCTGCGATCTGCGAAACTGTCGCCACATTCGAGGGCTGCGGGTGGGTCCTGCGGAGTGAGGCACCGCGCAGATCTGAGCGGGACCTCGCTGCGCCTGGGGGGCTGCGATCTGCGAAATTGTCGCCACTTTCGAGGGCTGCTGGTGGGTCCTGCAGAGTGAGGCACCGCGCGGATCTGAGCGGGACCTCGCCGTCCCTGGGGGGCTGCGATCTGCGAGCTTGTCGCCACTTTCGAGGGCTGCTGACGGGTCCTGCGGAGTGAGGCACCTCGCGGATCTGAGCGGGACCTCGCCGTCCCTGGGGGGCTGCGATCTGCGAGCCTGTCGCCACTTTCGAGGGCTGCTGATGGGCCTTGCGGAGTGAGGCACCGCGCGGATCTGAGCGGGACCTCGCCGTCCCTTGGGGGGCTGCGATCTGCGAAGCTGTCGCCACTTTCGAGGGCTTCTGGTGGGCCCTGCGGAGTGAGGCACCGCGCGGATCTGAGCGGGACCTCGCCGTCCTTGGGGGGCTGCAATCTGCGAGTTTGTCGCCACTTTCGAGGGTTGCTGGTGGGTCCTGCGGAGTGAGGCACCGCGCGGATCTGAGCGGGACCTCCCCGTCCCTGGGGGGCTGCGATCTGCGAAGCTGTCGCCACTTTCGAGGGCTGCTGGTGGGTCCTGCGGAGGGAGGCACCGGCGGATCTGACCGGGACCTCACCGTCCCTGGGGGGCTGCGATCTGCGAGCTTGTCGCCACTTTCGAGTGCTGCTGGTGTGTCCTGCGGAGTGAGGCACCGCGCGGATCTGAGCGGGACCTCGCCGTCCCTGGGGGGCTGCGATCTGCGAAACTGTCGCCACTTTCGAGGGCTGCTGGTGGGTCCTGCGGAGGAGGCACCGCGCGGATCTGAGCGGGACCTCGCCGTCCCTGGGGGGCTGCGATCTGCGAAACTGTCGCCACTTTCGAGGGCTGCTGGTGGGTCCTGCGGAGTGAGGCACCGCGCGGATCTGAGCGGACCTCGCCGTCCCTGGGGGCTGCGATCTGCGAAACTGTCGCCACTTTCGAGGGCTGCTGGTGGGTCCTGCGGAGTGAGGCACCGCGCGGATCTGAGCGGGACCTCGCCGTCCCTGGGGGGCTGCGATCTGCGAGCTGTCGCCACTTTCGAGGGCTGCTGGTGGGTCCTGCGGGTGAGGCACCGCGCGATCTGAGCGGGACCTCGAGCGATGTCGCCACTTTCGAGGGCTGCTGGTCCTGCGGTGAGGCACTGAGCGGACCTCGCCGTCTGCGATCTGCGCACTTTCGCTGCTGGTGGGTCCTGCGGAGTGAGGCACTGAGCGGGACCTCGCCGTCCCTGGGGGGCTGCGATCTGCGAAACTGTCGCCACTTTCGAGGGCTGCTGGTGGGTCCTGCGGAGTGAGGCACCGCGCAGATCTGAGCGGGACCTCGCCGTCCCTGGGGGGCTGCGATCTGCGAAACTGTCGCCACTTTCGAGGGCTGCTGGTGGGTCCTGCGGAGTGAGGCACCGCGCGGATCTGAGCGGGACCTCGCCGTCCCTGGGGGGCTGCGATCTGCGAAACTGTCGCCACTTTCGAGGGCTGCTGGTGGGTCCTGCGGAGTGAGGCACCGCGCGGATGAGCGGGACCTCGCCGTCCCTGGGGGGCTGCGATCTGCAAAACGTCGCCACTTTCGAGGGCTGCTGGTGGGTCCTGCGGAGTGAGGCACCGCGCGGATCTGAGCGGGACCTCGCCGTCCCTGGGGGGCTGCGATCTGCGAAACTTGTCGCCACTTTCGAGGGCTGCTGGTGGGTCCTGCGGAGTGAGGCACCGCGCAGATCTGAGCGGGACCTCGCCGTCCTTGGGGGGCTGCGATCTGCGAAACTGTCGCCACTTTCGAGGGCTGCTGGTGGGTCCTGCGGAGTGAGGCACCGCGCGGATCTGAGCGGGACCTCGCCGTCCCTGGGGGCTGCGATCTGCGAAACTGTCGCCACTTTCGAGGGCTGCTGGTGGGTCCTGCGGAGTGAGGCACCGCGCGGACCCGAGCGGGACCTCGCCGTCCCTGGGGGGCTGCGATCTGCGAAACTGTCGCCACTTTCGAGGGCTGCTGGTGGGTCCAGCGGAGCGAGGCACCAGGCAAATCTGAGCGAGGCATCGCAATCCTTGGGGGACTGCGAGCCTCACGAATGCCGCTCGCAGAAGTATATGCGCCCATGTCACGTCATCACCTCCGTCTAACGTCTCCCAAGCTACTCATGCCCCGCATTGCGCAGGGGTTGGGTACGTCGCTAGGGTAATTTCCCCCCTTCTCTCTTCGGACTGTTTTAGCATGACTGAGTTCCCTTGCCATCAGCTGGGAAGCTGGCATTGTTCGCGAGCGTATTTTCGGTCAAAAAGAGAAGACGGGCGTCCAGCCATGAATGATGACGTTCTTTCATCATGAACGTTTCAGCAGACAAACGAGGTTCAACTTTGGGCTTGACGTTAAGCAGTCGCCGTGTTGCGTACTGCTGTATGTGTGTGTGTGTGTGTGTGTGTGTGTGTGTGTGTGTGTGTGTGTGTGTGTGTGTGTGCGTGTTTGTTTCTGGCCGCTGCACGTTCGCTGGGTTACAGTCCCTCCTACCCACCACCCATTTTTGCATATCAGTGGTTGACGCTTCTTTCACTGCGCTTTCGATTATGCTCGATCGTAATTAGCACCTCCATCTGCTGCTCGCGCTTGAGGATCATCGGCGCCGCTGACTCAAAAAGTGTGTGTGTGTGTGTGTGTGTGTGTGTGTGTGTGTTTGTGTGTGTGTATGCGCGTACACATCTGACGTACGTGGCTCCGACGCTGCGACACTGCAGCCGTTAGCCATCTCGTCGCTACTCTGCGTTCGGTTATAAGCTTTGCGGGGGCGACACCCCCGCCGACAGCCCCAAATCGGCCCCTGTCGCGAGCAAGCGTTGCCGCTCGACGTCGACCCCAGTCGCCCCACGCCACCCGCCGCCAAAACCAGACCCCCAGTCCACGGGCGCGGACAGGTTGACGTCGACCCCCGCCCTGGGGGGCACCCCCCCACGCCTGTTGCCAAACGCAGAGTGCCATTCCTTCTCGTTGCCCTCCGACGCCAGGGCAAGCCCGAGCGCCTCGCCGTGCTCCGAGCGCTCGAGCGCTCCGCCTCCGAGGCGCAGCGCCTGTCGCGCTTCCAGGCGCGGCCCCTGTCGCTGCCGGCCGCCGCTGTGCTGCCGGGGCCTGGGGGGCACAGGGCATCTCGACTCGTTGCGTATCGAGCCTCAAGCGCAAATTGAAAGAGGCCACGGGTTTCCCCCCCCCCCCCCCCCCCCCCGGGGGTTCTTCGGGCCAAATTGCCTACGGTGCAGCATCGAACGAGCATCGTCGATGATGGGACCAGGGGCGGAGCGGAAAGATGCAGTGTACAGTGCGGGTTTCAAAACAAAGCCGAGTTCCCCCACCCTTCTGGCCTATCGAGGCCTTGTACACTTGAAGTAGCCCGAACATATTATTCCTCTGCACTCCCATGGCTTCGACTCGATTCGATTCGATTCCGATCTATTCCGATTCTGATTCGATTCGACTTCGGATTCCGATCCGAACCTCGGCTTCTCAAAGGAGGCCTTGCCAGCCTGCCGATGTCCGCTGCTTCGGCCTCTCCCCACTCCTCCGCCTCCTCCTCCTCCTCCTCCTCCTCCTCCTCCTCCTCGTCATCCTCATCCTCGTCCTCGTCCTCGTCCTCATCCTCTCTCTCTCTCTCTCTCCTTCTCCTCCTCCTCCTCCTCCTCCTCCTCCTCCTCCTCCTCCTCGGCTGCCGATCTCCCCCGATCCTACTCGTTTCGATCGCCGATCCAGCAGCCGGCTCGTGGCGTCTCGGCGCCGCGGCGGCTCTGGCGCGGGCGTGCGAAGGGGCCCGCCCCCCGGTAGAGCCCGACCCTCGGGTCACCCGCGGGGGCAGGAAGAGGATCGCGCTCCGCGCGCCGCGCTCTGGACCGGAGGGCTGCCCCTTCTCCACGGGGGGCGACGCCGTGCCGCGGCGGCGCGGGGGGTAAGCGCGCGCCGCGCAGCGCGGGGCGCGGCGCGTGAAGCCGAGTGAGCCAGTCTTCGGGCCCCCAGGGCCCACAGAACGCAGCACAGCCCACGGCGCGGCGGGGTCGGGAGCCTTTTTGGGGGAGCTCCGGGGGCGGAGGTCGTTCCAGGTCGAGCGGCCCGCGCTGTGCTGGAAGCCAGTCCCCACAAGAGCTCGGTGCGGGAGTCGTGGGCCTTCTCTCTTCTGCCTGGTGCCTTCTCCCTGGTCTCTCTGTCTTTCTGCATGCCCCCCTCATGTCTTCCCCCTCTTGCCCACCTCCCCCCCCCCCGCCTCCACCCTCCCTCTGAGCAGGTGCAAAGTGTTCGCGACGTGTCCGAGACAGCAGGAGGGCGTGGCATTATCTGGACACGGGAAGCGCGAACTCCGAGCTCCCATCATGTGAATTGTCTGAATCGCGATTGTTTTTTTGTGATTCTCGTTCACAGTGCTGGCGGCGACTGTTCTCTCGAGAAAATCGGAGCGCCTCTGCACATGGTATGCGCTTCGCGCATGGCAGGGCCAGGCAGCGGGGGGTACACCATCATGTACGGCAGCCCAGAAGTCCCACGCGCAAGCACCGTGGTGCCTGGCTCGGATACGCCACGGGAGCGCCTCCCCGGGCGCATTTCGGCTTCGCCGTGCTGCAGCGGCAGGTCGGCGGCGCGCCCAAGGCGGGGAGGAGGCCGGCCTTGCCATAGCGCGGCGAGACTTCTCGCCTTCTGAGAAGCCGCTTGTGGCCTCGGAGAGATCTCCTCCGAAGGCCAGCGGGCCCCTCGTCGGGCGCCCCGGGCGCCGGGAGGGTCCGCCGAGGTGTCGCCAGGTCGCCGCCCGTGGGCGCCTGGTTGGGCGCCCCGTGCGCTCGGTGGGTCCGCCGAGGTGTCGCCACGTTGCAGCCCGCAGGCGAGTCGTGGGCGCACCGCGCGTACGTTGCACAGGTCACACCATGTAGATGGCTTGCCCCTCGCAGCTCATACCGCACGGAGTGGACCACATAGCTTGCACCGCGTAGCTCACACATCACAGTTCAGACGACGTGCGTTATTCCACACAGCTTGCACCACATAGGTCACGCCACATCTATTATTCATACAACAGAAGGATGTACTCCCCCATGGTTAACAATCGCACGATTCTTTTCATCGCTCATTTCCAGAATCTCGTGTCATCCCTTCCAGCCGGACATCGCCCCCTTCTCCCTTGCCAAGTGACATGTTGCCCGCGCACTCGCTAATCCCCAGAGTTCAGTTTGCAATACTCTTTGGTGACGTGATAGTTGAAACAACCCAGTTCGATTTTTTTTGATCGTACATGAGATCCCTTTGTGATTGCTCGCTCGGTTTATGAAGTCTGTGGGGGCTATGAAGGCCATGAGTGCTATAGGGCTATAGGGCTATTGGGCACTACGGCTATTTGGCTATCGGGTTATAAGGCTATAGGGCTGTAGTAGGGCTAAAGGGTGATACCCGGACACCCGGGCACCCGGACACCCGGGCTCCCCAGGACACCTCCGGGCACCCCCGGGCACTTCCAGGCACCCCAGGGCACCCGGGCACCCGGGCCGGCCACCGAACTCGGCGACGCCCTCTACCCAGCCGTATGAATCCGCTACGACCACTACAGAAGTAAGCTCTGATTGGGGAACACAGCACAAAATTCGCATGCGCGCGCAAATGTCGAAACTAAACTAAGCGTGATCGTTGTGCAATCGTTTCAACACGCCAGCATCAAACACCATTGTTTCACAATAATTATGGCAGAATTTCGCCCGCGCGCACTAGTTGAAATCATCAATTTCACCATGCAATTATATGAATCTCTCGCATAATCCACATTCTCATCTTACCACGCGGTGTCTCCGCGTAGGTCTAGCAGGTGCACGCTGCGCACTGTCTCGCGCGCGCCGTTGCGCGCGCGCTTCGGAGTTCCTCCCAAACCATCGGTTTCCGACGCATTTTTAGATGGAACTTTTCAGGTACATAGGACACAAAATCGTTCTTAACAATCATGCCTGCCACGCGTTTTTCGTTACCGCACGCGCGCACTTCCTCACCATCACCCTCATCAGCGCCATCGCATACCGCACTTGTCGAAAGCACCAACCGCCAGCGTTGAAGTCATCACCAGTCAACCGCATTCATCACCGATACATGGACATCATCATCGTCATCGTCGTCACCAGCCTCGGCGCTGTCATTCGCCTTGCCGTCGTCGTCGTCGTCGTCGTCGGCGTAACATCGCCACATCCATCGCGACCGTCCTCATCATTGCCGCCGTTGCCTGCGCGGCCTTTGAGACGCGCGGGGGAATTCCAATCGGCAAGCGCCATCGCGGTCGCGTCGGTTGTGCCAAACCAGCTGGCTGCTCTGCGCGCGAGCTTGCGCGCGCCAGCGCAGCCGCAGAGACGCGCCAGCCACTGCCAAGCACATCCACAATCACGACCGCATGGGTTCTGTCGAACAAGTGGCGGGTGAGAGGGTTGGCTGATTAGTATATAAGCTCCTCTCCGCCTCATATTAATATTGCTTGTTGTATCACTTGCATTGTTGCGCACTGTCTGACTATGATGACGGTGATTATCCGCAGCTGTATGTTTGCTGACAGGAGATAAAAGGTGCGAGCTGGTTCGCTCGCGCGCACGCCGCGGGGTCGTCCCCGCGTCGTCGTCGTGTCGTCGGCCGGCCGGCCACTTCACTTACAATTCCTGATAAAGTAAACTTGCTTACCGGTTACTTGTCTTATCGATGTCTCATCCCGTACCCTCTTCTTGCTGAGCAGAGTGAACGTGAGATCTAAATTCCTTTGTCATCTTACCCCGATTCACAGAGGAAAGACTGGTGATCAGCCGAAAGCCGCGACATAGTCGAAACAGGCTTATACCAGCCAGAAGCATTGCCTTCTGATGAACCCCGCGACTCAGTCGCTGCGGGTATGAGCTATGATAAGACAGATGAAATGTCCGTCACTTCGCGAAGCGCAGAACAGCATGTTGTACAACATGACGGACGTGATCCACAGGAGAGCGGCCCTGGTCAGGGCCGCCTTCCTTCTTCTAGTGCCGCCTTTCGGGTCTCTAGGGGTAGAAGCACTGAAGAGGCTGTTGAGACGTCGGAAGATGGCTCTCCCTCTGGAGTTCCGATCGGTAATCGTGAACAAACCCCAGACCCGCATGGACGGAATGACACAACAGCGAAATCTAGACGAGGAGCATTCTCGTCTTTGATCGCCGAATCGACGGAGTCAATCAGTCCCATTCCGATTGCTACACATGCATTCGTACCAGCCGCTGGTGAAGCCAGTCGATCGGGGGAAGCCCACGAGTCGACAGGCGTGTACCCCAGGCCCAGGCGGATGGGGAGGCGCGAGTGGAACTGTTCCTTCCCAATAGCACTGAACGGACAATTTGGCCAGGATAGTGATGATCCAATTGATAGAGAGCATGAAATAAACTCAATGGAGGGAGATTTTGCTTATGTCAACAAATGTCTCTCCTTGAGCCGAGAATTGCCCTCATTAATGGAAGCAGACCACCCCGCCCAAGGCGAGAGGTGGCCCCCAGATGGATCAGATGAAGATACCAGTGACTTGACGTCTCAGGCGGACAAGGCTGAGACTCAGGCGAAGCATGATAGGGAGTCTACAGGACGGACTCCTGCACCTCAACTCAAGAAGCAGAGGAACGAGGATTACGATTTAAACGACTCACCGCTTAAAGAAGGTTTCGATCGCCCCGCTGTCGCCCCAGGCGATTGACCCTCGGTGCCGGCTGTGGTTGAGGATGAAGAAATGGTTGGACAACCAGCTTCGTGCACTGGGCTTATAAGACAAGATGAAGGGGATGAGGAGCTTCGAGAGGTACCAAGACCCCCAGAAAGTACGTTTGTGCGTCCTCCATCGAACACTTCTAGTAGGGGAAGACCCAACATGCCGAGATCAGGGGCGCGATCTACTTCAAGGAGCAACAGCAATATCTCAATGATTGACACATGCTGGAACTGGAATTCTGACTGCAAGCCTCAGGCGGAGAGCAGATGCCTGGGCAAAGCTAACAAGCCAGAAGGCGCATGTAGGCATCCAGTATGTAAGAGTTGCTCTGAGGTATGCCCTAAGTGTAGTACCCAATGGTTGTGT